AAAGTTAAAACTTAATTCACACTTTTATTTTTAAAATAACACTAGACATCAGTAAATTTTTACGACACTAGACATCCGACACATAAATGTACCCTAAAATATTATTTATCTTAGTAGATTCTTTGAACTCTTTTGAACTAAGCGGTTATTTTAGACCTACTGCAGAGTTACTCCTTTTATGCCATTATTGGTACCTACTCTATTTTACATACATTATATTAAATATATATTTAAAAATCAATATAATATAGTTTACATTGTTAGACTAATATTATGTTTTGTATGAATGAAATAGCTATTTTTAAAAGTTAGAAAAGAAATTAGTGATATTCAATAGATCTGTATAAATTTATTGTTATACTAAAATGTGTGCCTACATTCGATAAATACTTTAAATTTCCCCTGATGTTTATAATAGAACATAACATTTTCAAAATATTTTTACTGTTTTTTAGCAAGTCACTACAATTAATTTTTTTTAAATTACATTAAAGATACAAATTTTATTTTACCGAAAACTAGTTTAGTTTAAACTAGCTTAAGTTTTTCAGTATTTTTAATAATTATTTTGAAAATATTAAACAATTTCAATTTTATAAGTCCTAAAATTATCAACTACCTAACTAAATCCAAATTAATTTCTATCAGAAACCACCTTTTTGAGCTTTTAGGCATAAGAAAGTTTTGATTAGGTATTATTATTTTTACTTACCATGTCAACAAAAATCTTTTATTCCGTCAAAAAACTTGAAAATGTATTACTAAGTTTTTCATAAGTTGTTGGTGATATTTAAAAAAAAATTAAGCGTTAGTTCACAATAACTTTTTATGAGGGTCTGAAATTAAAATTGTTGTCAAAATTATAAAAATAATTTCGCCAATTTTTGTGATTATTACGAATTTATAAACTTTATATACACTGATAAAAATGTATGTTAGATTTACATTTTCCTCTCAACTTCTTTTAATTTCCACTTACAACAATCAAACATTTCATATGTAGATAAAATATAAATAGCTCAACTCTCAACATGAGTTAAAATATTTTGAATATATTATGGTGTACCTATAGTGTAAGTTTAAATGTGCATAAAGTGCGAATGATGAGACTATGACACACACATACGCGTTCAACGAGTGAAGGAATCGCGAATCGCGTGTGCTTATTAAATATTTCAAAATTTACAATGTACCTACCTACCTCTCTATCGTTTTTCTTCACTGCTACTTCTCTGATCGATGAGTGGTGTATATCTGTAACGAGTATCAATCGTTATGATACACATATATGATGATAATAATAATAATGTTATAATACACGTATTATGCACATCGACTTCATTAATATTACAATAATTATGGTCTCAAACTCAAATTACCGAACGGCCCACAATATATTTACCAATACCTACGTCGAAGTTTCACTAGCAAAACACCTATTTTTTTCAAACCTCTTTAACATTTAAAAATGATTGTTTCTTTTCCGCACATAATAAATTACTTTTACCGCACTAACAACAGGTAAATTCTTTAAATAAACTCATCTTTACAAAACGGTTTTGATGCGCGATAGCGATCTTTTCTGATATAAAACGCAGGTGCACTACTATATAGGTATATATTATCATTTAACTGAATCGTTATTTTATTTTCTTAGATTACATTCATTTTTTTTTAATTCTTAAAATTTTCATACAATATTTTTAAGAAATAAATGTTTATTGTGGTCCACATGTTTGAGACCACAGCTTATAAGATGGGAACCTGCTACTGCTACACTGATACCATGATACTTGGATAAATCAGAAATCGTATGAAACGAAGTGTGTACTTACAACTCTTAAAATACAACATAAGTAAGTAACGTTTAATACTTTTTGCGTCGTACTGGTACAACAGCATTATTACATTAATATTATAATAATATTCACGTATTGGGATTATCGTTGATATCATCACCTCGCCCCGTCCTCAAAGATCGTATGATAGGTATCTATATATTTTGTTTGTTATGTTCGGAAGGCTCCAATAATACAATATTTAATTAAATAATACGATGATAATAACCAACAATTTTATTTGAAATTTGCTTACCAGTGTTTGTCGAGATGTGTCGATTAAGGGTGTAATGTACATTCGAATAATCGAATAATTCGAATATTAGAACATTCGAATTCGAATAGTGTAACCGTAAATAATTCGAATATTCGAATACCTAATTAAATAATTCGATTGTCTGTATTCGATACTACAAAATCAATATTAATTAATATAAATAATAATTATATTATATTGGATGAAATTTAACGTACAAGTATCTATTAATATTATTATTGAACAAATTATCGCGTTAACTATAACTTATAAATGTATATTCATTTTTCAATTATTATTCATTATTTATTATTTTTCTGTTAAACCTAATTATAATATGTATTATTATTATACATTATTGTACAAAACTATTAAAACAACTATTTAAATATTATACCTGTTTGACTAACGGCTAACCTAATCCATTAAAAGGTTAAAGGAAAAGGAACATATGGCTGTCAGGAGCGAAAATTGTTTAAAGAATTGAATAAATGTATAAGACTTATCATGGAAAAACGACTAAAAATAGTTATAGTATACGAATACTGATATCCGAATAATTAAAATTTATCTGCAATATTTAGGTAAGTACTTATAGATATTTTATATGTTCATTTGTTTTAGTTTGTTTACAATTTCAGTATAATAAAATTATTTAGCTTTGATTCAAAATCTTGATTCCATATTCTTCATAAAGTGTACCGCATATAACAAATATCAAAAATACGCAATCACTATTGTTTCTATAAGTGTTTAAAGTTAAAATTTTTTACATAATTAAAAAAAAATGATGAAAATTTAACCAACTATTTTGTAGTTGAAAATGTATGCAATGCTCCTATCATATGTAGTAATTACTAAAATCTAAAAATCTTAAAAATATATTTACAAATTTTTTTTGGACATTTTAAGCTTAAATTTTGATGAAATTAAATATTTTTATTATAAAATGAGTGTTTTGGTATAATTCAAAAATATTCTTTGTGGTGTCTTGAAAACTTATGTACATATTATATTATTTTAACGAATATTTATCAAACCAGGTAATTGTTTTGCTGTATAGTAATTGTTGAAAGTGTAAATTGGGTAGGTCACTGAATGGGAGTCTTAAATTCATCTGGTAATGTATGATGCTATTCTTAATAAAAGTTCTCATTTACTTGTAAATAAAAATGTTGGATAAGCTCTTTTTACTGTATTATAAATCTATACACAATCATGTAATATTCAATAAAATTACATTGAAAGAGAAATATAAAACTTAATTGTTACTACATTGATTGCAAATCCCATCACAATCTTATTGCTCGTAGTGGAAGTAGTCATCAGTTATATTATCGGAGAATATAATTTGCCTTGCTACAATATTAATTATTAGAATTTTGTTCTATAATCATTATGAACTTATTTAACTTCTTGAAATAAATGAATAAGCAATTTTTTATAATAGTTATGTTACATTGTCTGTTTAAGGGCATTCAATATTTGCAGCAAAGAAGGAAAAATCAACCGAATATCACCTATTTCTTTAAAAAAAATCTATGTCGAAATACAATTTGGTGTTATCTGGATGGGCCCTTATATCTATTGAGATTGCTTGGTATGTATCAAACACAAATACATTAATTAAACATAACAGAGTTAGGTAAATTAATAACTTAGCACGTACTATTTGTTGTGTTATGCATTCATAAAATGGAGACAATGCAGACGTATATGGTATCCTCTTCAATAAATTTAATTTGCTGGCTAGTCTATTGAATGAAGTTCAAGAGTCAATATCCTTATGTTCTGATAAAGTTGATAACTTCTCCAAATTAGGCATTTTGGTAACTAAAGTTAATATAATAGCCAGGAATTAGTTTATATTGAAAACAAATGTATGAAGATGCAAGAGAAATAGATTCCTTAAAGATTAGTCATAATGTAAATTAACAGTGTGCATTAGTCTATCATGTGTATAATGTTTGTTGAATTCTTAAAGTAACTAACAAATTGCTCTCTGATACTCTATCGAAATTGGCTAACTTGTATTATGTAAGGTTGCACATTAATATATAATTAAAATATATTGCATTAAATAGTGTAATGATATTAAAAGAAATATTATTGTCGTATTCAATAATAATAATAATAATAAAAACACAACTTCCAAGATAGGTTCTTATAAAATCATTCAAAAATCAATTTAAAATTGAATCTATAATTGTAACTGTAATCAATTTGTGTTCAAACTTTCTTAATAAACTGTATATTTAAATGATCAGTTTTCAGCAGATAACAGGAAGACTATTTGTTACAAAATAACTGGCAAATAGATAAAAAAAAAATGTATTTGTTTGGTCTTACAGCATTGGCTTGTTTCTGAATAAAGGTTAATATTTTGGTGTGTGTACTCTATCAAATATTTGAATATTATCATTAAGTAATTAGACTCTTTTAAATTATTATATTTCTCATTATTGAGGCCCGTAGATACTTAAGTATGAATACATATGATCCATCATCTATCAACTTATTGCAAATACAATGAAATTTCTCTCATTTTGTTGCATTTCTCTTAGGCTCAAAACTTCTAACCTAACTTAAGGCAGGTTGAAACACTGACTATAGTCATCATTAGAATATGACTATTGTAAATATTATAATGAATTAAATTAAATTACATATATATATTGTTTTTCATTTCTAAATTGTAATGTTTTATTCTAAATTAGATGACAAAGTGTTGGCTTATGATAATGATTTACTATATGAGGACAAATGTTCAAAAAGAGGCATGACCATGGCTAGTACCCAGTACTTACTTCATTTTGTTGGTTTCAACTCCAAATTTGACGAATGGATTGATGAAAACCACGTATTAGAGATAAATGAAATTAAAGAAATTGATTAATTATTACTACTCACCATTTTTCACCATTTATTTATTATAACTATAAAAGTAGGAAACCTGCCAAAAGATCAAAGAAAGTAAATAAATCTAAAAAATCTAATACTAAAAAAAATGCTTCACCAAAACCAGCATTGAGAAAAACAGATAAGATCTCAAATATTATCCCAAACATCAATCCACATTCAAAGGTATTACAATAAGTATAAAAAATAAAGTTAAGAATTTCAGTTAAATATCTATTTTTATTTTAGCTTCTTGCCGACAAATTGCATAATATTGCTGTACCCCGTAGTTTACAAAAAGCATTGTTTTTGGATTTTGTGATGAACAACACATTTCAAAAGGTATGATACGTTTTATTTTTATATATTATGATTATTATCACTGTTATATTGATTGCTTGGTTTTAGATATTAAAATTTCCAGAGAAACATTTTTTGGCAGAAATTTTATACGCTTTCACTCAATCAACCTATTTTGACGATGATAGCGAAAAGTAATTATTTAATGACTATCTTAACTTATCGTTGATAAACAATTTTACAATGTTTGTTTCAGGAAAATTTCAACGATGTTATGTGTAACGCTGATGCAATATTTTAACTCTCATGTTAGCAAACATCTATTATATGTTAATGAAAAAAGATTCAAATTATATAGAAAGGTAATAGTACAAAACCAATCATGTGAAATAAAGCATGTTTTTTAATTCAATGATATAATTTAATGATTTTCATATTTAAATATTTAAAATACTAATAACTTAAGAATCTGAGCTGAGATAAATGTATTGATTTTACAATAATGTTATCAAACGTAAAGTAAATTATTAAAACCACGATTCCAACCTAAATAATATGTAAAAATCTATTAAACATACTTAATATATTTTGGATATATTTATTCATAAAAATTAATTACGCTTGGCAGAATTATTAGTCTTTGCAAATCTATTGGGTCATAACAATTTTACATTTCCAAAAAATGTACCTGATATTGAAAGAAGATGTTCTAGTGTTCATAATTTTTTTTTTATTTCAGTTTACTTTTCAATTCTCTAACATTTTTGGTGATAATTTTATCATCTATTACACTGGTTAGGTACAAACGGAATAAACATGAGAACTCTAAAACAAGAAGAACAAATTCATGTCATTGATAATGAAGTGACTGTTAAAGAAATCATTAAGGATATAGTTGAATTAAAAGTTATTATTACATACTTTGTTATTTTCTGACGATACACTAAATTGTATTTAGTTATATGATTTGTATACATTTTTTTTCTGTAGGACATATCAGATCCATTTTATATTTTTGATGTTGGTGATCTTGTGAATGAAGCAATAATTTGGCAGCAAACATTACCACGTGTAAAACCTTTTTATGGTGAGTTTGGATGAATATTTTATTGATTTGTGGTTTCATATTTAATATTTAAGATAACATTATTAATATGTACCTACTATACAGAATATCAGTAGTAATATATATACACGTACACATTTTGACTAACTAAATTCAGTTAAAAATTATGGAACAAAAGTATTTTTGGTTATGTATAGTACATTTCTTTTCATTTACCAATTTAATTTGCATAAGAATATTCCCAGCAATGATGTATCTAGAGATTACAATTTATCAGCTATAATGCAAATTAAACGTTTTTATAAATAATATTGATGAACTAAATGCGTTGTTCTAGAGTTTTATATCGCAGTCAAATTGTATTTTGTAATAAAATTAACTTATAACTAGGTATATAGATTTTTGATAAATAATGATAGGTACCCAATTATAAAAATGCTATGTGTTAAATATTTACGTTAACCCACTTTTTGTATTTTCTTAAAGAATTGTTTAATGTTTTTCTCTATTGTGTTATGTTGGACATAATCAAATGCTAATTATTTTATATATTGTAATAAAAATACAAAAAGGGTGATACCAGTTAATGTACCTTTATAAATATAAATATCAAACATGTATAATAATATATTTAAAAGTATATCCAGTCATTCCAGTAAGAACTAAATATTTAATAATCTGAGTGCCTGGTATGCATGTAAAATAAATGAAATAAAATAAATTTCCACCTTAAATCATTTCAAACAGTTGTTCAATACTATCATTAGGGACTTTCATCGAAACATTTGGGTATCTAAATTTACCGTCCACCATCTCTGACAATTTTTACTTGCCTTACCACTTTGGTCAATACGATATATATTAAATTTATGAAATCCAAGCTCATTATTCAAAATATCAGTAGATAACCAAGTTTCTGTTAGTAAAAAATAATCGACATTAAAAGATTGTATATTATATCTTAATACTTGTAACTTGGGGCTCGAGGCTCTTACATTAAAAACCATTTATTTTATATATTTATTTTTAGATTTAGACATACGTCAATTTACATTCTTTCTTTAATCATTCTTAAAACTATTAGTAATATTACAATTATTTGCATTACTCGGCCTGGGCTGAATAGTTTTTTAGAAAAAGTGACTGTTCTACATGAAAATATTTTATAATCCAATTTCCTTCACCATAGTCCCTCTTTTGCTGATTATCTTTGTATAGAGACCTCATTTGTTCACTTTGGCAAATAGTCAAATTCGATTTATTCAAAAACTCTTACACTTATCATCAGTTCATTATTTTGATTTTGATTTAAAAATAAAAGTTACATCCAATGTATCATTGAGTTGTAATACTCAACGGTCGATTTTAGTAAAAGAGTAAACTATTCTTTGATACTGAATACAATATCTACTTTCATGGTAGATATTTAACATTTGATACATCAGTTCATCACCAATGGCATTATCTTCGGGAGAATTACAAGTTAAAGCTTTTCACAATCTAGATAGTATAATTTACTTAGTTCACAATAGATCAATTTTATCTTGAACTACAGAGTTAATACATTTTACTTTCTAGTCTAAATTAATTAATTCAGATTTCAACAATTTATTTTCAATTTGTTAATTATTAAATGAGATAAGTTGGCTATCCAATGATATTTTCAAATCGGTGAAATGTTTTCTTAGACCATTAATTTATTGTTTATTTTTCTCAACCACTATCATGTTTTTCATCAATGGATTTCAGTAACTTCATAACTGAATATATTGAGTGATCAGTGCGTATGTTAGAAGAACTTGTTGTCTTTTTGATCAGCATGTCGATTTGTTTCCGAATTTCTACAGCTGATGTATACTATACGTACGATAAAATACTAATACACAGAAAACACGTCTACATGCTATAATAGACTCAAATATACTTATGTACTCGTGTTCAGAATGTTATGTGTTTTATAAGACTATACATAATAACTTATGAGTATATAATTAATTTTAATTTTACTATTATTTACATTTTAAATTCAATATTATGTTGTACTCATTTGTGTTTAAAATTAATTCAAAAATTTATTTCAGCTGTAAAATGCAATGACAATTCCTTCGTGTTAGAAACTTTGGCTGTGTATGGAACAAATTTTGGTTGTGCTTCCAAAGTGATGATCTTTAAAACATACATAAATGTTACTCTAATGTTAATTGAAGGAATATAATTATTAAATTATGAAAATTATTTCATTAAGGCCGATATAAAAAAAATTTTGGACTTGGGAGTGAATCTGTCGCGTATAATATTCGCTAATCCAACAAAAATGGCTTCACATATTAAATATGCAGAGAGCAAAGGTGTTAATCTGACAACATTTGATAATGAACTAGAATTACACAAAATAAAATCCATACATCCATCCTGCCAGTAAGTTACAAACACCTAACTCAAAACACAATGTTAATATTTTGTTTCTCTTTTTAGCTTGGTTATACAAATTCGTTGTGATGCAATTGAAGTACAATGGTCCCCTTGGTATCAAATTTGGGTTTGATCCTCTAACTGAAGCACCAACGTTAATGGCAATGGCCCATGATTTAGATTTGTATGTAGTTGGAGTGAGCTTTCATATTGGTTCAGGATGCAGTGAACCAGCAGCCTTCTGAAGAGCAATTGCTGTTTCAGCAGTCATTTTCAAATATGCTCAGGAGTTAGGTTTTACGAATATGCACTTGTTAAACATTGGTGGAAGATTTCCTGGAAATAAAAACACTTCCACTTTCACCACACAAGTATGAATCTTGTTAAAAAACAATTTATGATTTTACTTTTAAAAATTAAAAATTCAATTTCAAACATATATTTTAGATTGCAGACATAATTAATGATGCACTTAATAAATGGTTCCCTCCAAATAATGGAGTGACCGTCATAGCAGAGCCTGGTAGATATTTTGTGGCTTCAGCATTTACACTCTCAACAAAAATCCATTCCATTAAAAACCGTTCAAATGATGAAAGGCATATCATGTATTTCATTAACGATGTAGTGTATGGTTCTTTCAATAGTATTCTTTATGATCATACGGTTGTGAGCCTAAACCTTTATATGTGAGTTGGATAACATTTAATTGCCTATTATTTAGATTACGATAAACTTATTTTAACATTTCTACTTTTAGGATTATTCAAGTACTCGTCCAATTTATGAGAGTTCCATCTGTGGTCCTACTTGTCATGGCTTAGATAAAGTAGTTGTTTTTGCGAACATGCCACTGCTGGGATTGGGTGATTGGATTACTTTTGAAGATATGGGAGCTTATACAATACCTGCAGCTAGCACATTTAATGGATTCTCCCTTCCTAAGGTCTTTTCTATCGCCAAACAAAGAATTTGGTTAGTTTTAAGCATGGGCGGATAGGCCTACCGGGCAACCGGGCATTTCCCGGTGGGCCCCCCTTCGTATTTCGGCAATGGGGCCCTTTTTATGGTTAACGTAACGACTCATTAATATTATATTAATATTATTTAATTACAAAAGAAATATCAAATTTGAAATATTATATTATTTTATAATCTTATATCTATTAGTTATTAGTTTATTACTATTCTGTGGTATTAGTGTATTACACAAAAGATTTCTTATCGCCTATCGGCCCGCATCAGCTGCCGCTCTGCCACAACAACACTACAACGTCGATCCCTTTTTGGCGGCGGGTAAGGGGGGTAATAACTCACAGATAATAGATATTATGTTGTTGTAGATACTATTTTTAGAATAATTTTAGACTAAATATTGAACATTTTCAGTGCTATCGTGTATTTGTTTGCGGTACTGCCGGTACTGTAGGTAGTATTTACTATTTTACTGGTATCTTATCTCAATCAAATTATAGAACTACCTTTATTATATTATACTTATTTCACTATTGCGGACATTACGTTACGTTGTTGCTCATAACTCATAAGTCATTAGTTTCAGTGTAACTTATTTCTTAGTTTTTACATATTGCATAGTACATAATGCAGCTATAACAGGCGTTTACGTGCTGCTGTTTTACTTTTTTCAATGGGCAATTCAAAAAAATCACATAAAAGCGGAAGTGCTAAAAGAAAAAAGAAGGAGAAAGATTTGCTGAGAAAGGAAGCACAAAACCCCGATCAAAAAAAATTAAATTTTGTAAAATCAAGTAAGTACACACATAGTCACATAGGTATAACTATGGGTACCATACCCTACCTAATACCTATGCATTTTTTATATTTTAATATATTTTATTATTATTTAATACATTTATCTACCTATAATAATTAATAATGTATGGTAATATTGATAATATGATATAGGTGCTTATTATAATATATATTATAATATAATATTATCATGTACCTATTCATGTACAATATTAACTAAAAGATACTATATTTTATATCTATCTTAGTATATTTTTTACACTTAATAGCAATTAACAGTATAAAATAAGTAAGGGATGTCAAATAAATTTTCTAATATTTTTTAAACATAAATTGTGTTTTTAATGTGTATTATATTTATAATTTTCAACATTATTTGAAGTATAAAAACCTAACTAAAACACTAAACTTTTATAATTAGATGTACTTAATTGATAATGGAATATAGATGTTGTTAAAAATTTATAATATATTTATATATAATGGTGATTTTTAGTTAACTTTTCTATACATTTTAACCTAACTATTTAAAAAATGAAAACTTTACTTTCTAGATGTCAATGCTTTAAAGCAAGACAATGAAAATATTCAAGTTAATACAGTTGAAGACATTGAAAATGTTGATACCATGACCACAGTTGAAACCTGTTCAAATATTGATAACGCTACCTACCTATATAATATATATCTAAATTTGAATTATATAAATGTAGTTTCAAATTTCTATCTCTAGGTGACAGTGATCTTAAAAAATATTACAGTACTGTTATTGAAAATGAAAGAGAAAAGCTGAATAGTGATGATGGTAATTTTTAGTTAACTTTTCTATACATTTTAACTTAACTATTTAAAAAATGAAAACTTTACTTTCTAGATGTCAATGCTTTAAAGCAATACAATGAAAAAATTCAAGTTAATACAGTTGAAGACATTGAAAATGTTGATACCATCACAACAGTTGGAACCTGTTCAAATATTGATAACGGTACCTACCTATATAATATATATCTAAATTTGAATTATATAAATGTAGTTTCAAATTTCTATCTCTAGGTGACAGTGATCTTAAAAAATATTACAGTACTGTTATTGAAAATGAAAGAGAAAAGCTGAATAGTGATGATGGTAATTTTTAGTTAACTTTTCTATACATTTTAACTTAACTATTTAAAAAATGAAAACTTTACTTTCTAGATGTCAATGCTTTAAAGCAATACAATGAAAAAATTCAAGTTAATACAGTTGAAGACATTGAAAATGTTGATACCATCACAACAGTTGAAACCTGTTCAAATATTGATAACGGTACCTACCTATATAATATATATCTAAATTTGAATTATATAAATGTAGTTTCAAATTTCTATCTCTAGGTGACAGTGATCTTAAAAAATATTACAGTACTGTTATTGAAAATGAAAGAGAAAAGCTGAATAGTGATGATGGTAATTTTTAGTTAACTTTTCTATACATTTTAACTTAACTATTTAAAAAATGAAAACTTTACTTTACTTTCTAGATGTCAATGCTTTAAAGCAAGACAATGAAAAAATGCAAGTTAATACAATTGAAAATATTGATACCATGGCAATAGTTGAAACCTGTTCAATTGTTGATAATGGTACGTCAGAATCTACCTAATATATTTATATAATATATACCTAAATTTGAATTCTTTAATTTTAAACAATTATAATTTTTTTTTTATACAGAGGTTAGTGATATGTTTATAAAACCTAGAAGTATTAATGTTACAAGCTTTTGGTCATTCCATCCTCATCAACCAAAAACAGACATTCCATTCAGACCTTCAAAATTGTACAAACGTAAGGATGGAGGTCATCGTAAATGGGTATCTTATTGTGTTAAGAAAAAAGCTATATATTGCAATATATGTCTTTGTTATGGTGATGGTTCTGGATCATTTTCCAAAGGTTTTTCTATCTGGAGGCATGTATATGAACGAGTGAGTGAGCATGAAGAAACAATAACACACAAATTAAATGTTGATGCTCATCTGATGAAAAAGCAATTTTCCTCGGTGGATTCACTCTTAATAGACGGGCTTGGTTCAATAAGAAAAATACAAGTTGAAAACAATAGAAATGTATTACTTCGTCTTATTGATGTGATAAAGTTAATTGGAAAGCGCGGACTAAGTTATAGAGGTAAAACAAATGAGGCTGCTTATTCACTTGATGATTCTTCTTTAGACCATGGGAATTTTTTGGAAATAACTTTACTTATTAGTAAATATGATTCCCTGCTTAAATCCCATTTAGATAAAGTTGTAAAAAAAAGTTTAAAATGTCATAATGCTGGAGCCCAACAAGGAGGAGGTCAAGTTACTTTTTTATCAAAAACTACAATTAATTATATTCTTGAAATTATCGCTAAAAATATAAAATTTACCATTTCTAATGAAGTAAAAGACGCTGTAATATATTCTGTACAACTCGATACAACACAAGATATATCTGTTACTGATCAATGCTCAATAATATTAAGATACGTAAATGGTACATCTGTCTTCGAAAGATTAGTTGGCATGGTAAAGTGTAGCTCAAGTAAAGGCTCTGATTTTGTTGAGTTACTCTTAAATGTTCTTAAAGATATGAATATAGACCCAAAATGCTGTATAGGGAACGCGACAGATGGAGCTGCAAATATGCAGGGAGTCTATAATGGATTTTCTGCAAAAATGAGCGAAGCAGCAGTTGAACAAGTACACGTATGGTGCTATGCACATGTATTGAATTTAGTAATTAGTGATATTACAAGCAAAATTGTCCAATCTATTTCTTTGTTTGGTATCTTGCAAGGATGTGCAGTGTTTATACGTGAGTCATATAAACGTATGGACATATGGACAACCAAAAATTCTAAAAAAAAAATATGTACAATCGGTGAAACAAGATGGTGGTCCAAAGATGCAGCATTAACAAAGGTTTTTGGAAATTTTAATGAACCCAGAGATGGATTGTTTGTTGATCTTATAACTACCTTAGATGAAATTGAAAACAATTTAGGTATAACTCCAGATGCTCGATTCAAGGCAAAAACTTTAAAAGAAGGCTTGTTAAAATATGAAACTATTTTAACTGCCCAGATGTACTTGCGAATTTTTAAAAAAACCACCCCTCTATCAAAATATCTACAAGGGCATGGAGTTAATATAATTGCAGCTTATCAAATGGTGAAACAAACTCTAAATGACTTGCAAGATTGTGCCCGCCAGTTTCATAGTATTAAAGAAGCAGCCAATACTTTTGTTGAATATACCAATAAAAAGTTTGATGAAATGGAGAATAATACTATAGAAGTTCTAAATGAGTTACCTCATAATAGAATAAGAAAAAGAAAAAGACAATTTACTGACTATGATTCAATAGATGATCCTATTATAGATCCATTACGTGCATATGAAATCAATGTTTACAACCTAGTGTTTGATACTGTCATTGAAAGTATTTCATCAAGATTTGAAAAACATGAACAACTATGTGCCGATTTTTCTTGTCTCGATCCAAACAATTTTCAACCAGATTTACCACTTCCAACAAATGCTTTAGTAAAAATATATGAAAAAATCAGAAATTTTATACCGGACATAACTTATGATGATTTTAGAAATGAATATGTTGATTTTACATCTAAATGGAGAGAGTTGAAAAAAACCATTGCTTGTGTTTATGATGAACTAAATAATCAAGTTCCTGATGATGGTAATGATTCTGAAAATGGTAATCTATATTTATTTTTACATAAATATTAAAAAATAAAATTAACAATAATTATATTTTATTTTATTTTATATTTTTTTGTAGGATACAAGAGTGATGATGATATTATAGTATGTGTGCATAGTTCCAGTGCCAAGTATTGTGTTACATGCTGTTTTGAAGTGTTGGTGAAATATAATTTATACGCAAATACATATCGTGGACTCCATTTTGCATATAAATTTATGCTTACTTTATCCATTACACAAGTAGAATGCGAACGTACATTTTCTAAATTAAAATTTGTAAAAAATTATTTAAGAAATACTATAAGTCAGAATGTATTAGAGAGTATGTTGTTAATGAATGTAGAAAAAGATATTCTCAATAAAATTGATTCTGAAGACATCATTAATAAATTAGGAGCTAAGAGCCTAGTATTTGGTAAAATGTTATTAATTTAAAATTGAAAAATGTGTTTTGTACTTTTGTTGTAGATTTAATGTTTTGTTAATTCACCCAATAATGTACTTGCGAGCGAAGCGATCAACTTTTTTTTCATGTGGGGGCCCCTTTTTAAAATTGCCCGGTAGGCTAAAAATGGCCTATCCGCCCATGGTTTTAAGTCTCATAAAGCTATTTTAAATCTAATCATATTATGATTATTTCTTCAAGGATACGTTGAAAAATTTAATGCCTTTATCTGAAGAGCATTTCACAGCTATGCCCATTGTTGCAAGTATCAAAATGATACAACCTGAATCCGATGAAGATGATACATGAAATGAAAACATTTTGTTAGATAACAGATAATATACATAATATTAATAAGGAAATATCCTTATCTAGATAATTTTTTTTTTTTGACTTAGCTCTAAGTTTCTACTTGTTTAATTATTTAAATAGCTGATTCTCCATTTTGCTGTGTTTACAATTATTCTAATATTATCATTGCTCATGTTAAAACCAGCTAATTTGAGTAAAAATGTAGCTTCTTATAAATATGATTATTTTTATTTATTCCTAAAGATATAATATTCTGTAAAAATATATATTTTAATATACATTACATAATTATATAATAGGTACATACATTAAATGATCTACTTAATGTAAGCTTTGCTTGTGTTGAAGGTAATGAGTTACAGTTGTACTAATACACACATGGGCAGATAGGTACTTTTTTTACCAGCATATATTTATTAGGGCCATATATACTTAGCGCCTATACATTGTGTATAAAAAAAATTTAACTTTTTTTGAGTTTTCTCATTGGCATGAATCTTGATCCATTGTTTTTATATTTGAAGCTCCACTTTCCAAATTTTGTTTAGACATAATTAATAATTATCATTTATCAATTATTTATGAAGCGGTTTCTAATACTGTTATTCATTGTGTAGGGTGTGGTTCGAGACAAAGAAAGGCACGTTGGTAATTAAATGAAGAGTTTTATTTTGGACAACTTGTATTTCATTAATATTGGATTTTTTTGCTGAACTCCAAATTTGGACGCCATAAGTCCAAATAGGTTTTAGTAGGCTTTTGTAAAGGATTAGCTTGGTACTGATTGAGTTTGGATTTAGAGTTTAAGAAGTAGTTAAGAAAACGAAGGCGAGAGTTAAGCTCAATTTTGGTGGTGTGGATATGGTGATTCCACGTTAATCTTTAGTCAAAGTTAACACCAAGGTATGTTGTGGTAAGTGAGGTGGGAATTTGGATGTTGTTGAAAGTGGTTTGAGGACATGGGCCTTGTTTAAGTGTAAAAGTTGTGGCAGGATTTAGATTCATTAATTATTATTAATGAATCTAAATCCTGTTTAAATTACTTTCCAGTTCTTACACCAGGTTTCAATTAAAGTGAGGTGTGATTGGAGCATGATTGAAGCGTATAGATTTTCGTGAGTTGAAATAATCGCTTCGTCATTAGTGCAAAAAAAATACTCTAGAGTATATACCTCTACTTAATTTGAATTTAAACCAAGAATAACGGTTCTAGTTATTTTGTTGTTATTTAAAAATATCATTCCTTTGTATGAAACTTTTAGAGTACATTGTTATTTTTATACACACAACGACTTTTCTAATGTCATGTTTTTTTGGCAAAAATGAATTTAACCTTATGTTAAAGTAATCTGCAGTAAGAACTAATGCCTAATAGTAAAATTAATTACTCTAATCACTTAGAAATATTATTGGCTGACAGACTGTCCAATCGCTTAGAATCGTTTTTCGTATACAATGATTTTATATCATTGAATTCTAATTTAACACATCCGTCACAGTGTCTAGAAAGTGATCTAGAGAGACATGTACCTACAGCAGAGAGTTACCCTCTCAACTGCTTATTAGAGTTAAGACTTGACAATTTAGCATACAATTCTACATAAATATTTTTTGCAGAAACTTAATGATATCTTTAGCAAAGAATAAAGATTGGTAGTTTTAATTATTGCAAAAATAAAAGCATTTTGTATGCTATATTTTGTTGACAATTACGTCCTTTTAACTTATCAACTAATTATGACCTACCATAGAATGGCGTTATTGTGTGAATAGGTTTGAGATATTAATACACTTATAATAATTCAAATATTTAATGAATAAGGTAATAAATAATATACGAAGGTAGTGGTGAAAATGTTTAAATCCTTAAGTACCTATCCATATAGAATTTTTTGGAATTCTAACGAAAATCATTATTTTTTGTTCCAATTTATTTTGTCTAAATTTGAACTTGAAATGCCTTAGATTTTAGCAATAAATTTATATCAAATAATACCAAAAAATGTTGAGAATTAATCGTTTATCGCTATTGTACGTTACAATTTCATCAAAAGTTGATCATAAAAATTAATGACTTCTAGAAACATTTTTTTAAATTCAGTAAAAATAACTGATGAGGAATCTTATATTCAATTATCAAATCTAAAATATTTATCATTATAATTTATAACCATGTGATACTACTCTGCTGTAGAGGAGGTTTCGAGAAGATCGCACTGTATATACAAGAAACAAAAAAGTATCTATAAGAATACATCACAGCCACTAGGTGAGACCTGCATCTTCCGACAGTGCACATACATTTTTTTTATTGTTTTTTAAATGTACAGAATAGTTCAAGTACTGTCAATCTACAACTAGATTGTATAACAATAACAGTATAACACACAATATTACTTTAATATGAATATCTTATTTTATATGTCCTAATTATTGTAATTTATATTTTTTGTATCTCTTGAGCTTACTATACTATTTTATTCCCGCCCGTTATATATGTTAAATAAATAAATAAATACACAACTTTTTTATACCTATAATAAAAGATTAATTTAACAATGACAACAACAGAATTATAGAATTAAAGAAGTATTTTATTTTTGTAATAATTATCTGTACAAAATATGCATAATACCTACTTCAACATTGAGCACATTTAACGTGTTAACAAAAAAATATATATTTATGAGTACATAAAAGTATATTGTAGGTATAGAGTAGTGTTTTCCAAAAAAAAACTATGTTATTAGGTACGCCTATTTATGAATAATATTGAGGTCTTATAACCCCAAAACGAATGGATGTATAAATATTAAAAAAAGCCACTTGCTTCGCTCGTAATCATTAGTTCACCAAATAAATTAAAAAATATTTTTTTTGACAGTTTTGTGCGTTATTGTATTAATACCTAAGTATTAATAAACATAACAATTTCAAAGTTCACATCCAACATGATAATGATTTATCTAATAATATTTCTCTTTTATATACAGGGTGATCCAACAAATATGCTCAAATATATATAAAAACACATTTATTACAGTTTCAGTTTGTCAACCGTTTTAACTCTCTAAAATGTTTCATCAAAATCAATTTTTTGGGGTTTTGACTTTTTATCAATTTGGAGTATATATCACAAATTAACAAAACTTTGGTTTTGTTAATCGTGATTGGCCCTTTATTATTTTCAAGTCTGTGAAGATAATAATACTGGCCTTTCTTATTTATTAGTTCTTAATTATTTTCGAGACTACAATACTGTAACTAAATATGAAGAGTATTTTTTTTTTATAAATTTAATAACGCATTTTATTTGGTAATAAGTAAATTGTGTCTGTAATATACTCGTAAGACAGAAAAAAGTACTCAGCTATCATAATATCCGTACCAAGTACCAACTACCAATACCTATACTCCCGTTTCACATTTACTAAAACTTTATTAATTGACAAATAATGACTGCGTTTTGCTCATTTTCTGATGTAAAAACGGGCGTGTTACCACACATATTTCATTGGAATTTGAAAATCAAGCTGTAGATTTACCCTTTACTCTGCTTGGTTAGAAACGTCGTATCTTAAAATGAGCAGTTGACATTTTCATGTCTAATGCTATTTTGAATCTGAGGAAATAAATGCCTTATACTGATAACCCTACGTCTAATATACAATAACCTACGTCCTTCGACAGATCTGTAAAAAATAAAAATAAAAAACCTATTTTTAATAATCAGTGGAAAAGAAAAAAATTGTGTAAAACGGGAATACCTATTTGAGATAGGTAAGCTACAATAATTTTTGACAAAATCAGATATTACTGCAATGTTTTCGTACAAAATTAAGTCAACCTTGAACCTACAGAATAACTAATGAACTTAATAGTAAAATAAATAACTATATATCTATATATATATTAACAATATAAACAGCTTTTAAATATCCTACCTAGTGAATCGCCCCGACACAAAGTTTGTAGCCCGAAATTGGAAGTGTTCACTACGGATTTGAGTGGGTACTTATATAAATACAACTATATATTATAATATTTAATATGTCTGAGAAAGACAATTTTCTATGATATAAAAATTAAGTTACATTTACCAAGTCGATCCTTACTAGTTATCTACATATAATTGTGAAAAGAGAACACTCCGGGTATAAGTAGTATATTATTTACTCCTAATCATACGTTTACTTATATCGTACTACTGGTCATATTTTTTTTTTAATTTTAACTTTGTATAAGGTATAAAACCAAGGTACCTGTACCGCTGTGGCGCTGTACCATGTAGGACGTAGGTATATAAAATGTAATATTATATTATCATCTAATAAAGGGCCACGATTAACATAGCCAAAACTAATCAATTATAATTAGTGTTAAACATTGCATGAAATATACAATTTTGAAATGTATCAAAAAATATTTCAAATCCGTGAAATATTTCAATATTCTGATACAATTTGTTTTTATTTATTTTTACATCCATTTGCCATTAGTTATTATTTTCTTTCATGTAATAATAAGGGTATTATGTTTTTTTTCATTCAATTCTCGAAGTACTATATGCATTTTTGCTTCGTTTTTACCCATGTTGTGCAAATTTTATGCTCAATAAACATTTTTACACAAACGAATATTGAATCATGATGTTATATTTTAATGAATATTAAATTTGTATAAGTACACGTGACACACTAGAAATAATTCTATGATAAATGAAGATAATCCATGTTTAAAATTTAAATTAAGAAAATAAAATATCGACGGTGTTACGAACACGTTGTAATAATAAATTATATAGCTATATTAGCTTATAATTAGTTACATAAATAGTATTACTATTGCATCTTCGTCAAAGAAGAGCCGATTCCTGGGAAAAAACAAAGTTTCGATATAAATCGTCGTAAAAACAAGACCTCAATTTATAGTACCCATTATCACTAACATGTCGACCACAATACTCAATGCATTAATTTCTTCAATGTTTCACGTTT